TTCGCTTTATTCCCGCCCACATTTTTTTCCTCAGTGTGAACTAGTATTGGCATTATATGACCAACAAACGATTAGCTAGCAAGAGGTGGCAGGATATAGCTTTTGCTAGGATAAAAAGGGCAGGTCGAGAATAAAGCAAATCTCGTCCAGAGAAGCTGACAGGTCCTACTCAGAGTGTTCTCTGTGGTTTTTTTTTGAATTTTTCTTCACCTGAGAGTCCTTTAGTGACTTAGTTACCGTACGTCATTATCCACAGTACACAATCGCAAGGTTGGCCTTTAAGGACACATTTATACGACTATTGCTATATTCGCTAGTTATTTCGCGTCATGTGCTATCGGTCTACTCGATATACTCCCCAATCAGGCGGATGCCAGGAGATGGATCGAAGAGGTAATTTTCATGATACTGTTTGTAGTTTCTTGAGTTTCAGTGCGAAGGAGGTTTCTATGTGGGCAACTTATAGATAGCTTTTATTTCAAGCAAATTCTCCTCACTAGTCCACTACATCCTGCACGGAATGATCACTCTTAAGTGATTTGATCCCAATTCACGCTAACTTTTATCAGCTCTAACCATAAGAGCAACCTACAATGTGCATTGGGAAGTAGCAGAGTTACGCTACGACCAACAGAGCGGAAAGGTTCCGCTCAATGCTGGCAACCTTTGGGATGCCCCACGCCATATATGTACTTCATTTCATGTAGCACTGGAATCTGGAGTGCATACAGCCTACACAATAAGTAACTGAGGCTAGCCGTATGTGTCGATGTTTGTTTGTTAAGATGGATCTGGCCATCTTTCACGTAGTCTAAGTAGTACATAAGGCTCAGTCGACCTCAGCTGCACTCCGGGATTCTCTTACATGTGGTGTAGCGAACATAACAAAAAACATTTGGAGAACCCCATGGATGTGGTCGTGCCGGTCGGTGAGGAGGGTGTCCTCTGGCCCCAAGAAAAAGTCCTCCGCCACTCAGAAATTGTGGTAGTAAAAGGAAGAACGGTGACATCTGCATATTCTGTCGACCCTATAATTCTTCCCTTGTCAGTAACCTGTGTTCGGGTTGATGAAGGGTCGCAGAGGCGGAACTCTCGTCTACTGGTGCAGAGCGGAGCACCCCGTACATTGGAGTGACCAACCTTAAAGGCAGTTGGCACGATGGTTTCCTACTCGGCCTAAAATGCTAGTAGGGCGCTATATAGTGGGGAAATGGCGAAAGAACGGAGTGAAACGGTCAAAATCCTGCGAAGAAAAAGCCTCCGTTCTCAGTGACTTGAAAATCGATTTCGGACGAGTTTCCGTAGGCATCTTGCCAATCACCGCTACCGAAGATACGGCTGCATATGTGTACCCTATATGTGAACAGTCCTCATCATTGCAGACCGGTGGGGCGGGTGAGCCGCGCTGCGGGTGACGCGGCTGTGACGCGACTGTCAATGAGCCGTAGTCACAGCCGCGTCACACGCGGCGCGGCTCACCCGCCCCACCGGTCTGCAATGATGAGGACTATATATGAGTACATACATGCACCTGCATCCACCGTAGCGGGTATTATCAAGATGGGAAACTCGTCCGAAATCGATGTTCAAGTCACTGAGAACGGAGGCTTTTTCTTCGCAGGATTTTGACCGTTTCACTCCGTTCTTTCGCCATTTCCCCACTATATAGTGCCCTAGTAGCATTTTAGGCCGAGTAGGAGACCA